GTCGTGAAATATGTTTTTCGCTAGTGTTTTTCATATCACGTAATATATTAACGTCTTCTTCTGGCGGTTGATCCTGATTTGTATGTAGAAAGTTGTCACGCGTCACAAAATTAATTAAGTGCATCTCTAGCTTACTAGCCAGCTAGCAGCAGTGTGTATGGGAGTAGTGTTACGATGGTGTGGGTGTGTTTAATGCTGTTGGAGGAATATTGTTCGCTTTCCTCACCTACTGAGCTCAGGAGTTCACATATGAATTCGGGTAGTAGAGTTCGAGTTTACATTCGAATTCATACGAACTCGAAACCAACAAGAATTTCATATTGTCTCCAACTCGTGTGCCTATTCTCCCACTGCTGATGATTTTATGTATTTTCTCAGTTAACTCTAAATGGCTTCGTGGACGAACAAATTTGGAGACGATTACGCTGAGCACTCTGCAGTCTTCGCCAAGGGTGAGGAGCTTTTGAGGTCCATTTTTTTCGAGGTTTAATTTTCCTTTATAACGTTAACTTATTGAATGGTTAATGTTTTATTGAAGTATATGTATTACATTAACTATTCAATATCAGTATGATTATATTGGTTTAACTAGACCTCAAGTTTATAATATAACAATATATATATAATCATCTTATAGACCTATATCTCCCAGAAGTCTATTTGGTTGGTAAGCCGAAATTAATTTCCTTATTCGCGAAATTGATTCCGTGAAGACGTGGAATGAGATGCAAACTATTGTATTTTATATTTCAATTACCTATACACTATATATTACTATTAATCATGTTAGGAGATATTGGAGTTTCACCCGTTTCACATGAACTGGTGTAAAACGCGATATTCACACTGCGCAGTAGCCGTGAAATATGTTTTTCACTAGTGTTTCTCATATCACTAGGGTGGTGAAACTCCACATTTATTATTATATATTTAAATGTGACCATTTTATATTATTATTATTATTATTACTATACTAATTATATCATATTAATTTTATGATCACATATGATCACATTTATAATGATGGTCATCCACAGGGAGTCTATAACTGCTGCAGTGATCTTGCTGACCTTCCCTCTTCAGATGCTGATGTCGAACACATTGAGATGATGGGCGTTTCTGTTAGAGAAGTTTTAATGCCGGCGTTTGAGGAGGCGTTGAAGGATATGGGAGGGAAGCCCTTGAGAGAGGCGAAAGTGAGCTGGTTGTTGATGTTTTTCTTCAGTGTGGGAAAATCTGCACTTGTGTTGGTGAGGATATGAAAAGTCTGTGAGAAAATTTCGGCGAATTGTTGTTGGTCTTGGTGTTGGAATATATGTTTGCTTTCCTCATTTTCCTCACTAATTATATAAGTTTATATGCGAATTCGGGTAGAAGTGTAGAGAAACCAACGAGAATTTCCTCAAATTTCACTCGCACATGTAGTTAGTTATGCGCATATTTTCCCACACTTCTCACTACACTTCTATTCGAATTCATATGTAAACTGCCGAGCTCAGGTGAGGGGAGCGAACATGTAGTCCTCCGTTTACAGATACTGGAGATTGGCTGCGGCACCGGTAGCATACTAGACGTCCTTAGAGTAGAAGGCGCTGACCCCAACTTGCTGTATGGTGTCGATCTCAACGAGAAAAGTGTTAGTATTGCTAACGCTAAGCATGAGTTTCATGTGAGTTTCCGTTGGATTTGTTGTGGCGATGGTATTGTGAACTTCATTGTTTTTACCTTCTTGTGAATTCGGAGATGTTCTTACGAGAAATTACTTTTATTTTGGGCTGAAATATATACCCACATTTTCAACTATACGTATAGTAACAATTAATAATTATCGAGCACGCTTTCTATAATGGAGTTTCACCCATATGTCATGGAGTCGCGTAAAACTCGGTAAAAAAACGTGATATTTTATTGCATTTTTCACCGAGTTGTACGCCACTTCCACGTAAAACGGGTCGTGAAACTCTAATATACGATATTAATTTTCCGAATATAGTTATAGAAGACGTATTGAGTATTGGTGTATGAACATGAAATGATCAGCGAAATGTGAATAGGGCGATCTTAGAATTTCTGTGGATTTTAAGTATTTTCGAATAGAAATTCACTCGTCAACTCGTCTGAGGGTCTAAAGCCAGAACTGAACTCCTTGTCACTATTTTCACTAGAAAATTATAGTAGTGATCAACGATGCTGCAAATTGACGAATGCCGATTTCATTGCTGTATGTGCTCGGCCGTATTGATGACCATAGGTTCAACACGTTGAAGGGTACGACTATATTCTGCCTGGCAACCCGGAAATTGATATCGCCTTCTGCAAGCAGTGTCTTAGTCATGTCCCCCCAGCTGATTACGAGAAGTTTTTCGGCAAAATCCGACAATTAGAAGCGAAGTACTTCATCATTAGTGAAGGCATTAACCCGAACGGCTATGAGGCGACTAAGTGGGGAGAGTGGACTTTCCATACGAATGATTTTCTCAAGTTGTGCACGGCTCAGTTTGGCAAGCCTATGTTTACGAAAAATTTCGTGGCTAAGGAGCCCGAAATGTTTGCGCCGTTGATGCATGATACTACTGCACTTTTTAAACTCTGCAAGTTGTAAGGTGTATTGTCTTGATTTTATCAGTCTGTGGTTTTCATGAGGTACTATTGCTGTTGAGTTGCGAGTTGGTCGGTGTGCGGTGAAAGCGCCCACAGCGTGAGTACGGGTATTGATAACGGTGAATAATTCACCGTGAATTGGTGGTCATCGAGAGAATCATGAATTTCAATGAGATTAGTTTTATCAAAACTGAGGATTCGTCTCCCTACTGTGACTGATGACTCGACTCGTGAGCAGACAATAATTAGGAAAAAACGATTTAACCAATTCGATGAACGGATTGTACGCAGCGCAACTGCGCACGCATACGCATAGTAGCGTGCGATGCGCGGCGCACAACATAGAGTTAATCGGACGAAGGACATGAAATAGGGAAACACTACAACAGCAAGAACTTCATAAAACTACTTTATGGTATTTATTTATACATGTGCTCAACTGAATGCAGCATAAAGGGCATCGGGGTGAACTATTGAGGCAACGTATCGCGTCTTGTTGTTTTCTAGAGCTGTGTGCATTCTATTGGTGTAGTATAGGCGATGGAAGACCACAGACAGCAGTTCAATGTTTTGGCCGAGATTTGATGATTTACTGGGAAATGATTGCCCTTTTTTTAGTCTTCATGTCTTGGCGAATTGCAATGAAATAACGTATCGAATAATAGCACCTGTTTAATTAAGATTATAAGTCCGTAGGCGAAAGCAGCCGCATGAGAAGGTCGAGAAAATCATGACTTCCTTTTAGGCAATTCGCTTGAGTATAATATTGTGGGTTCTTGGGATGGCTAATTTCCTCACGTACACTTCAGTGGTCGGCTGGTGGGTCCTCTTTGTCTTCATGGGCTGTAGCAAGAACAGCGGGGGAGGGGGAGGTGGGAAGCCTGGAGCACCTAATATTACTGCGACAGGGTACGGATGGGGTCTAACCTGAATTCGTGTATATTCTGCTAGAGTAGTAACGTCGGCTAGTTGGAGTCTTAAGCCTCTGTTGTTCTGAGAAGGTTGCTCTGTGATTCGTAGACGCTTATATCAAGTTGATTGAGATCAAGATTCCAATTGGGAGTAAATTTATTGTGGGTGATGCTAAATACCATTGAAGTCGTGGAGAGTTGGGAAATGTCCAACTCCGTTCCGGGAAGCGTTAACCACAAAAAATTCGAGCGTATAGTCATATTAAGGCTCACTATGACTTTCAGGGTCACCACTGCTGCCAGTGGAAAGAGGTGGGCTACCGTCGATGTTGCAGTCAGTGCTGAACGTAACAAGAATGCGAAGATCTTCCTAAAGACAGGTACCACCTGCTAGCGATGAAAGAATGGCTGTTGTTGTTGTGGTTGTTCATTCAGATGGGAAAAGCCCGCGACCGATAATCGGTTATGGAGGATCAATTCCTGAGCAGACGTTTACCAATGTGAACGAAAAGGCGATGGACGAGCTTGTCGAAGTGTAGGTCGAGGGTGTTCTTGGTGTGGGTATTGGGATATTAATCGGCATAGTAGGGAATATCTTGGACCTGTGGCATAGCTGCCCCGGTCGATAAAAACGTCCATGTGGAAGGAAAATTGATAAAACGAGTGGGGATAGGCCGGACGTTTTTACCCGCTGAAAAACGCCCGTTTAAACGACTCGGCCATGCTGGAAGTGTTTATAGACACAATTTGGAGCCGCCGCCATGAGGGATCGTGCCGTTGTTGTGAAATCTAGATATGCCAAATTGTTAGGACACACCCCTGGATACTCCTCACTCTAGTATGGGAAGAGTATGCACCAGTTCTGGCTCGAGACTCAGCTGAGCTCAGGAATGTTCTCACTACATTTTAATGATTTGAACACGCATTAGGTGTAGAAAAATCAACGAGAATATACCACAATTTCACACAATTTTTTCCATTGTCACTAACATGCGTAGTTCACCATAATACTGCATATTTTCCCCACACTCCGCATACTATAGTCAAAGGAGCTGGTCTTATGAGCATTTTTCCCACTAGATGATTTCGCAGGTACTTCGGCTCTGCCGGGCTTGATTATAACATGTTGCGAGTGCCAGTTCATTCGACGGGGAATGGTTACGTATTCGATAACGTATATAACGACTTCGACTTGAAGCATTTTGATTATAACCTCACTGGTGATAGAAAAAATGGAAAGATGGAGATGATCATGAAGGTCCTCAAAAAGAAAGAAAAACTCAAGATAGTTGGTGAGTTCAAAGGGTGTTAAGCGAAAGAGATAACTTGATGATAGGCAGCGCTTGGTCGCCGCCGTCTTGGATGAAACTCGGCAATCACAGTATGAACGGCAGTCCCAAGCCATGCCTTAAGAATGATCCTCGATACCACAAGGTGTGGGCTGATTATCTCGTCACATGGGTATCCGATGGTCATTCACTCGACTGTGTACCTCTGCCTTGTACAGGTTGCCGCTTATGAGAGGCTTGGAGTGCCGATATGGGCGATTACGCAGCAGAACGAACCATCGTGAGTTGTGATGATTGTTACTTCAGTTGGATTCGTCCACAGGAACCCTATTACGTTTGTGGGCAAGTTGTTTCTACACGCCCGAGGCTCAGCTAG